GGGGGGGGGGGGGGGGGGGGGGGGGGGGGGGGGGGGGGGGGGGGGGGTTCGTGGCGAGGGGAAGCAAAGACCTCTGCGGGCAGCTTGCTTTATTGCAAGTTGTCTGGTCCGATCCGTTCGCGAATTCCGCGCGCTCTACTCGTTCCTATTTTCAGGTTAAGTAACTTTCTCGCGAGCCTTCCTTGCACGTGCAGGCGGTGTTGGCGAGGTCGGGTGACGTTCACGGTGTGTATGGGTGTGAGAGTGAATCAGGGACTGGTGCAGCGGTACGAACTCGACCCTTACGTGCCACGTGGGTTGTGGTGCCCGCGTGCAATTTTCCAACAATCAAGAGGTGGCGTCGTGGTGCTTCGTACAGAGCGGGCTCGAGAGTCCGTGCATATTTGTTGTTTGGTATTTTGTCGCGCGATGGGAAAATTCATAGACTGGTCTAGTGTAAAAATGACCTTCGGACTCGCAATGAGCTCGTTACAACGCCCGGTGGATATGGGGAGTTGGGTGAAAACGCGGAGGAATGACGACGGAGAACTCTCCAACACGCAAAATCGAACAGCCGCACAACCCTTCCGAGAACACACCGGCTGTAAACCGTCACACACAAAAATTGCCAGACGAGCTGCCCGGTGGCGATAGATCTCAGGAGGATAGCGAAGATACCCTGATCGACTAAAAACGCATACTATCCCTTTACGGGGCTTCAGCGCTCCAGCAACAAACCATCCACAGTATCAATATGCCAGCATCGACTTCGCAACCTTTGATGCACACTGGTTTCCGCCGTTCGTGAAATTCCGGGATGGGCACGCACCTCATGTATATGGCGGCGCGATTGAGGGCCTCCAGCCTGCCGGAGGCCGCCCCTATCTTGACGGACGTCGCCGCGGTTCCCTGTGAAGCCGTCCTGAACCTTTCCAGTTCTCTAGCCTCCGCCCCGAATCCGCGGACTTCCCGGATGTTGCGAACGGCCTGGTTTTCGCATGGATGTAGCAGGAAGCATCCAATGCTTTTAGTTCATGTTGCTGTTTTTCGTTGTTTTGCACGTCGCCTCTCACTGATACCCGTAATTGTGTAGGTTCTTCTATTCTCTCCCATCTCTCTCATCTAGACTACTATCGAGATCATCACTTCCAGGTCTCTCTCTCTCTCTCTCTCTCTCTCTCTCTCTCTCTCTCTCTCTCTCTCACACACACACACACACACACCTCCGACGCGATGGAGGCTTCGACCCCCAGAGACTTCCCCTCCTCCTGCCCCAGCAGCATCAGCTTCTTGCGGGCCTCTGCCTGTTCGTCACGTAGGATCATGTTATGTTGTTGTGAATGCCCGTCCAGCCCGTTCATGTTACTGGACGGGCAAAGCAAACACACCGACCACCGCCAAACGAAGGGCGCATTGCGAAAGGGACACAACCAAAAGGAAAACACGATTCCAACAACAAAATGAAACACGACAGGCACCAGTTACCACTATCGACACCAACCACAACGGCAACGGTACGACAACAACAGCTCCATACCCCCACGACTTCTCACCAAGCTCCACGCGGCGAAAGGGATGACCAGTCCGAACACCCAGGCGAGGCGGGGCGAGAGCTTGAAGAGCACGGCCAGGCCGCAGATCGTCTCGAGCACGGCTCGGAGGCCTCTGTCCCGCTGGAGATTTCCCTGCACGGCCTGCTTGGCCACCATTACGTCCGACGTCACCGCCGCCGACAGCTGCAAAAGGATACCATAGTTGTTGTCGTTGGCATCAAGGCATAATATGTAAAAGTGTGGTCGTTGCCAAAGGGCCGCAGGTGTTGTTGCCATCAAGATATATAAACAGTGTGGTCGTCGCCAAAGGATACCGTAGTTGTTGCCATCAAGATATGTAACAGTGTGGTCGATGCCAAAGGATACAGCAGTATCAGTTGTTGGCATCAAGATGTAACGTGGCAGTGAGCCGCAGGAAATATGGGTGATATGATGATTTTTTGCGTTCGAATGAGTGCTGAAACTATGAGAGGACGACAATAGCCGATGCTCCGTAGTGTGTGCTTTGCGGTGCTTATTGCTGGCCCGCGAGGTTGCCAGCAGCAGCAGCAGCAGCCTCGCCTGCTCGCTAACCGCGCGTTCGAACGTAGGTCCAACAACTAAGTTCGTTTTTGTTTTCTGCTTCGCATTGCCTTGATCTCACCCTCGAAGACAGTCCAAGTACGCATACCCCGTGGGACTTCTATGGACAGGTACAGAAGTAGACCCACAAAATGACTCTGTCGAAGATGGCGGGGACATGGAGACCCTCCAATACGCCTCTAGCAAGCACCACCTTCTACCTTAATGAAACAGCGCGTGTTTCCGGTGCAGACCAATCTAGCGCGTATCCACGGACGGCTCACTGACCTCACATCAACCAAAGGTGTTTGGGTTCTCAAAGGTCCATCGGGTTCAAGCCGGCATGCAAGAATGGTGTTATAAGAATAACAAGGCTACTGTGGCAATCAATTGTTTTCGTTGAACTCGTAAGGCCGCCAGAAGACCAAAAGTAACAACCGCAACAACATGCTGCAGCCAAACGAAGCCAATCGTGCCGCCCCCCCGCCCCCGCCACGCCCGTGCACGCCGTCTACAGCGAGACCACCAACGAGTGAGACCCCCTCCCCCGCAAAAGTCGAAGCAAGATGCAGGGAGACGTTTGAAGCATGGAATAGCCAGGAGACGACGGTAGCTGTACTGGGGCATAGGAAGTGGGTTGAAAAGCGGGAAAGTAAATATCGATAGGATAGATGGACTAGGGAAGGCATTATTGGGCCACCTTTGGCAGAGGAGGAAGTAACAATTGGCGATCGGCCCTGCGGGAAGCATGCTCCGTGCTCCGTCCTCTCGAGGACGCCTGGTGAATGGTCTAACCGCTGAGGCATGCAAAACATTAGAGTACCCCCCCCCCCCCCCCCCCCCCCCCCCCCCCCCCCCCCCCCCCCCCCCCCCCCCCCCCCCCCCCCCCCCCCCC